TGACTCTGGGCCACATCCAGAGTGAGTGCGCCCGGGAGCCCAGGCACGCTCCCCACATCGCTTGCAGCCAGACTCACACCGGGATTAGCCAGGTGTGGCGGAGACCCCAGGGTGCCTGCACACACCACGCCGGGGGTCAAGCGACCCGCCCCATAACAGTGTGACTTCTCAAGATGCTGTCCACAGAGGCACCCCAGAAAGCACAATGGGGATCTACACTGGTGAGCTAGCCACCACCACAATCACCACAGCAGACACAGGCACGGTAGGCTACTTGGCATCTTTCCTCTGCCTCCACCTCTATCTGTCCTCTAGTAACCAAAGACCCTACCACCTTCCAGGGTCTTAATGCCTATGCATGTGATTCATACTGGGCAGGTAGCACACACAACCTCTATGAGCATAAGTGTGGGGATCAGACACCCTGGGCTGCAGCTACTTCTGTCTTGCCCTAACTGAAATCACAGAGAGGCCTCGTCACCATTTTAGATTCCAGTATCCTAGTTCAATAGAGGATTAATGATTGTGTCTATGCAAAAATATTTCCCCTTTATTGACATATATTGTGTCCTAGAAATAGTACCTGTACTTACCATTGGCTTCTGTGAATTTTTTTCCTGAACACCTGAACTGGAAGTGATTCTCCTGTATGATTGACAGCACTCCATCTGCTTCATATTGCTTTGACCTCACAGATAGTGCCTCCCCGCTCTCCTCAGGGTTCTTTTGTTTATAAGTGACAGGAATACAACTAGAGTCACTGTAGTGGGGAGAAAGGTTTTGTAGAAAGCTACTCGGTCTGTTCAATACCTTCCCCTAACACCTGTTTTCTTGCAGGGCAAGAAGGACCTGTAAGGCACTGGGGATCCCAAATATTTCATTTACTTCTACTGACCATAACCAAAGTCCATGGGAGATAGTACAAGTCAGCAGGGCTCAAGAAGTTTCCATGCAGATATGTTTCATCCAGTGTTGGATGTACACCCTTATTTAGACCCTTCATGACCTGATGACTGGCTATGCAAACCCCCACGAAGACATCGCATAGGCCTTCTCCCAAGATAATGCCGACATTTTCCCCAACACCCCATCATTCCTTACTTCATCTTTCTCATTAAAATGTCACTGGCATGAAAAGGGCCCCTTTTGCCAAAGTAACAGGGAGAAGAGCAAGTGCCATTCCTTTTCCCTCACAGCCTGGGTTTCTTAGCTCAGACAACCAGCTGTCCTCTAGGCTCACTTACTTTCTCATCTCCCAGTCTTAGAGATTCAAATAGTCTGCAGGTTCCTCCTTTTCTTCTGTTTCCCCAAAAGGGCCTTTGGCCTGGAGCTTAATGTCACCTGACTTCACTGATTTGCTAGTTTCTGTCAATGCATCAGATGCATTTCCCTCTCATTAGAGCCTCCCATAGCTGCAGGGCGGGCAGGGTGGCAGGACAGGGGGATGCTGGCCACTCAAGTCAGCAGACTTTGGGAGTAAGAGAACAGCTCATTGAGGCCCTATCCTCATTCTTACCCATACAAGGAAGTCATCTCCCCTTTGGAGACTGGTTTCCTCTGGCCTCGTAGTCCACGCTTTCTACCTAAAGGAAGCACTGTCCTACACACAGAAGACTGGATCAAGGAAATGGACTCTACTTCAACGGTCCACCCTTGGGTGTGAGAGCCCTCAGAGAAGGAAGAAACACTGTTATGTTGTGTGTCCTCACCCCCTACCCTCCCCCACCTTCCAACCCCCACAGTGTGGAGACACGTCCTCCATACAACCCAGAACAGCACCCCAAGCAGTGAGCCTCTGAGGGAGGCCTTGGGCTGGGGAGGACTTGTGTATCTTCTGGCACTTTTAAGTCACCATGGGGAAAATTTTAAATTTCAGTTATAAAGTCTCTGATACAAGCCTACATTGAGAGCTTGGAGACATTTCTAGATTTGGATGCTTTAAGTCCCTGGCATATGTTGAAAAGGACATTTCCTTGTGTCCCCCACCTCTGGTTCCAGGACTGTCTTCTCCCTTTGTGTGATCTTCAGTCACTGCAGTTGAATTCTTGGTCAGGAAGTTCTCTGCCCTTTTCTTCTGTTCACCTTCTCCTGGTCCTCCACCTGGTGCGTGTCAGGGCTGCTATTTTC